TATTGATATTGCTATTGTATATTTCCTTGTATCGAATAATTTTGTATAATGATTCTCAATCGTCCACTAAGGCATATACATTTCTCAATTAATTCGAAATACTCAAACATGTTTCATATAAGGGTTTTAAGACGTACTGGTATTACCTTAAAAATGCATCAATATACAATGGACCTCATATATGAAGGTATGTTTGAAATACATTACCATACGCGTAAAACATGTGACAGTCATTATGTCTTTGAGAATTTTTTGCAACACAAAACATGATTTCTTTGAAATTATATCATCTTATCTTTAGATCCTTTGATGTAGGATACAATTATTGGACAAACAATGCAAAACTTATCAGAAATTCAAAAATTCGGTACTGTTGTTCAGAATCTATCTATAATAATAAAGACAAATCCTACATTTCAAACGCCCCGCTGTCAGTGCTGCAGTCTGAAATGGAAACAACGATAGGACAATAAACCAAGGCCCCGCGTGATTAAGGCTGTACACGGTAAAGCTACCTCTACAGTTGGAAATAAAAAAAAGTAGGCTTATTTCGCTGTCCTGGCCAAATTTTCCTCATTTTACACTGCATGGGGTTGCCCTTCTTCATTAGCCCATAATTTGATGCAGAAAAGTAGGGCGTAAAACTACATTCATTTTATTTCATTTACATTTCAAACGTATCTTTTGAGTGGTATATTTTGATACGTCGTTTGGGCAAAGCGTATCGACATCACATGTATAAAATGTAGAAGGGAGATAATCAGGAAACGATCAAAATGGCGATTTGTTTATGTAAAGAGTATATTTACACCTCTGTAGAGAAATTGAAAGTTACACCTTAATCAATTAACACACTCAATGTCACGCTTACAATATGCTTCCGAACTCAAAATCGTGATCAAAAGAGACAGAAAGGGTGATAGAATTAAGATAGATGTTAGATAGATAGAGTCGTATTTAAGGTAGATGTATGTGTATTTAAGATAGACAAAGGTTAATTTGAGATAGATAGGGGTGTATTGGACATAGAAAGAGGTAGATATAGATGTATTTCAGATTGATATAGGTTAATTGGAGATAGATAGGGGAGTATTTGACATAGAATGAGGTAGATATAGATGTATTTTGAGATTGATATAGGTGTATTTGAGATAGATAGGGGTGTATTCGACATAGAAAGAGGTAGATATGGGTGTATTTGAGATTGATATAGGTTAATTTGAGATAGATAGGGGTGTATTCTACATAGAACGAGGTAGATATAGGTGTATTTGAGATTGATATAGGTTAATTTGAGATAGATAGAGGTGTATTGGACATAGAGAGAGGTAGATATAGATGTATTTCAGATTGATATAGGTTAATTGGAGATAGATACGGGAGTATTTGACATAGAATGAGGTAGATATAGATGTATTTTGAGATTGATATAGGTGTATTTGAGATAGATAGGGGTGTATTCGACATAGAAAGAGGTAGATATGGGTGTATTTGAGATTGATATAGGTTAATTTGAGATAGATAGGGGTGTATTCGACATAGAACGAGGTAGATATATAGGTGTATTTGAGATTGATATAGGTTAATTTGAGATAGATAGGGGTGTATTCGACATAGAAAGAGGTAGATGTAGGTGTATTTGAGATTGATATAGGTTAATTGGAGATAGATAGGGGAGTATTTGACATAGTATGAGGTAGATATAGGTGTATTTGAGATTGATATAGGTGTATTTGAGATAGATAGAGGTGTATTGGACATAGAGAGAGGTAGATATAGGTGTATTTTAGATTGATATAGGTTAATTTGAGATAGATAGGGGGATATTAGACATAGAAAGAGGTAGATATAGGTGTATTTGAGATTGATATAGGTGTATTTGAGATAGATAGGGGTGTATTGGACATAGAAAGAGGTAGACATAGGTGTACTTGAGATTGATATAGGTTAATTTGAATTAGACAGGGGTGTATTGGACATAAAAAGAGGTATTATATAAGATAGATATAGGTGTATTTGAGATTGATATGGGTGTATTTGAGATAGATAGGGGTGTATTGGAGATAGATATAGGTGTATTGGAGATAGATAGAGATGTATTTAAGGTATCTAGGGATGTATTTAAATGGATAGAGGTATATTGGAGCTAGAAAGAGGTGTATTTAAGGTAGATAGAGATGTATTTAAGATAGGGGTGTATTGTAGGTAGATAAGGGTGTATTTAGGATATATAGAAGTGTATTGGAGATAAATATAAGTGTATTTAAGATAGAGGGGGCTTTATTCAAGATAGATAGAGGTGTATTTAAGATAGATAGAGGTGTATTGCAGATAGAAAGAGGTGTATTTAAGGTAGATGGGGGTGTATCTAAGAGAGATAGTGTTAGTGGTATATTCAAGATAGATAGAGGTGTATTTAAGATAGATATAGGTGTATTTAAGATTGAAAGAGATGTATTTGAGATAAGTATGTTTTGAGATAGATAGATAGATAGATAGATAGATAGATAGATAGATAGATAGATAGATAGATAGATAGATAGATGGATAGATAGATAGATAGATAGATAGATAGATAGATAGATAGATAGATAGATAGATAGATAGATAGATAGATAGATAGATAGATAGATAGATAAATAGATAAATAGATAGATAAATAGATAGATAGGGCTTCATTGAAGATAGATAGAGGTGTATTTAAATAAGATAAATGGGGTGTATGGGAGATAGATAGAGGTGTATTTAGGATGGATAGAGATGTCTTTAAGATAGATAGAGGTGTATTTAAATAAGATAAATGGGGTTTATGGAAGATAGATAGAGGTGTATTTAAGATGGATAGAGGTGTCTTTAAGATAGAGAGAGGTGTATTTAAGATAGAGAGGGGTGTATTTAAGATAGATATAGGTGTATTTAAGATTGATAGAGATGTATAGGATAAGTTAAAAAAAACCTGTCTCTGAAACTAAGGTACGATTGGTCAAACACCTGTTTCATATTTGAAATACTTTTCTTCACTAATAGTTACCACAGTGCCAAAATTTCCCCTTCGCCAAATTCCTTAAACTTGCCCAATCTTATGTATAGTTTCACCTTTTGGATTTGTATCCTGACACCGAGAAGACCCCGGGACTAAAATCTTAAAAATCCAGGGTCTTAAAAAGTAGAACCAAGACTTTGTTTTGTTAACTATTTATTTGAGATCAGCAAAGCAACAATAAATCGGATAATTCTGGCGTAATTCTGAATAAACAAGAGTTTTCAATTATCTTTCTTTCATGTACACAACAATATTTTCTAAATATGTACTCTTTAGTAAGTAAAATTGTATCTCTTGATGCATGTGGAAATTGCCTCTCTGACTTTTTGACCCAAGATGTTGCGACCTAAAGCCAAAGCAATGATGTGGGTATGTTTTTGAAGAATGCAACATCACAGTGCGTTGACCGAAATGCCAAATTTAGATCGATCAAAAGGATACTGCAGAATTTTAATTTTGTGTTACTTTTAATGAACTTTAATGAGGAGTTTACTATTAGAGTAGATTATGATTTTTCACAGCATTTCTAAACAATAGACATAATTAATATATTTTTTTCTCTTAAAAAATTAAATCATTAAATAAACTATTTACATCTTTATAATACAACAAAATAAACAATGAAAAATATAAACATCTTGGACGCAAGTCTGGTTAACCTAGACAGAGAAAAGAAGTTTTACCCTAGATCACCAAGTGACAAGAAGGTCTTTTAGATGGTTGACATAATTCATAATCACTATGAAGCAGGCCCGTAGCTACTGGGGGCGAGAGGGCAATGCCCCTCCTTCGAAAAAAATGGATTGCCTCCCCCCCTCCCCCCACCCCACCCCCGTGAAAAAATCTGACAACCGATCAATTCCTTTAATGAAACTAGACATCATGCACTATTGGCCCTTCGGATATACTACTTGCCCCTTCAAACATTCAAGGCCAGCTACGGGCTTGCTATGAAGGGTTTAGCAAACGACACAGGTTCCAGACCATTTGATGCAGCCATGACATCGAGTGTGTTTAACCGACACATATTGAGGCACTTGGCATAAGGCTAAGGCATTTTTGTAGTCTGTAAAACTATCAGCAGAAACTGTAGGCAAAAAGTGTGTCTTTAAACATGTTCATGGAGTCCACAGTCAAATCACAGTCGGCCATTTTGAATTTATGTAGCACTAGAATACACTATATGAAGGATAGTCCATATGAGGGTTGTAAGGTGTTGATCTGTCCTTCCGCGAGGTAAAATAGTTCTCTATTTGATAAGGAGGATATGAGTAACAGCCTGAGTATATCTGAGTAGGATGAGTTGTATTAAAACCACCAGTAAAGCCCGCTGATATAACTGGTGAAACAAGACATGGCTTACTGATGTCAGGCGCTGAGGTATCTGAAAATATAGAATAAACACACTTATAATTCTGAAATGGCTTTGTGTTTTCGTCCAACTGTATTAATGGGTTAGAGATAACAGACCAAGGCAAGTACTGCTACCAGAAACAGTGCTAAAAAATATAACCCATTTTCACCTTCTTCTGGTGCTTTGAAATAGAGGCTATAGCCTTGCAAGTAAATGGAATGAATCTTATTTGGGTCTAGTGTGTATTGAAAGCATTAATGTGCAATCTCATCTACCGAACAGTCATCAAGATAAATCAAGAGTTTAAAAAAAATTATGTATTGTACCTGTGTCGTCGGTTCTCTTTCTTTTCCTTTCTTTAAGGACATGGACTGGGTTTGGTTGTCTAGATTTACCAGGATATTGTTGCATCTGAGTTAATACTTCAGCCATACTGAAACCAGACGTACAGAATATTAGTAATCTTAATTTCTTCAGAATAATTCGTAAGCTACTTCGCAAAATGAGCTAATCTTTAACTTTTTCAAGAGTTCAATCGGCTTAGCACTATAAACAGATCAGGTGAGATATATTTCAATGGTATACACTGTCAAAAAAACATACTTACCAATCATTGGGATCACAATCTCTGAAACCTTTAGCAAATGGATTACTGGCTATCTTTAACTGTGTTATCTGTAAAAGATGTAAAAGTACATCGTTACATCGTTACATTACAGATAATGCAAATATGGACTTTTCTTGAACATTTTGAAGAAGGTACCTTGGAAGGTGGACTTTTCCAGATTTCTAGGCAAAATATAAGCCTATTATCTATTTGGTTCTACGTAATGGGGTCGATGTATACTTTCAGATACGAATATTTTAGATATCCTGGCTCATATTGCGGTTTTCTTAAATTATGGACTTAAATGTAGGCGTAAATTAATAGTTATACAAGTTCTAGCATTCGGCAATCCTCGGCAGTTTCAGTAAAGCTGAAGTTGACTCCGTAATGAATAGTGAATTCCATTGTGTCTTCTTGCGCGACACTCTTTACTTTCGGTATTTAGCAGTAATTTGCCAAGTGATAGTAATATAATATACGACCTAAATATAGTCCTTAAATTTATAGACTTCGGGAGATAAATCTAACACTTACATATGCATTTAATGCTATATATTGTAACTATTGGTTATCCACTTATACATTTTATTATCATTTTGGATCTTACGAAGCTTTTGTTTTCATTGAATTTGTTTACAAACACTTGAAGTCATGCACGACCAGCCTCTAATATTAAAATTATCAAAAGCAAGTGATCACTTGACAATATTGACATAGTTCCAGTAAAAAAATCGTCATTCATTACCGCGATATGTTGCAGAGCTCTAGCGTATCTTTCATGGAGGTTTGAAATTCTGGTTCCTCCATGGAACTACCACAATACTGCCTTCAATAAAATTTTAAGATTTATAATATCTTGCATAATCTACTATAAAAATGCAGACATCATTCTTCACTTTTATTTTTATCAAAAGTCTGAAGCAGTAATCATAATATTCTGTCTTTAAAATCGGATTGTAATGGCAGAAGGGTTAAAAGACCCTAGTAAGTTTTTATGAATTAAATTTGATAAAATTTACAATAACGCGGTTTATATAACACTTTTATGATTACATTTATTTAGAAAACCACATGCGGTCAGATAAACGTCAATTTACCGTCGAATGATGAATGAGAAGAGAAAAAAAATAAGTTGATGAACGTGCTTATGAACATGAGCCTGGTTTGTAAAGTTTAGATTTGTCTATATATCATCGCAGGGATATCGTAACTGTATATTAAAACATTACAGATATAGCAATATCATATTACATGTTATACAGTACACTTAAACAGATATCATTTTATTTTCTAAACCATTTTATAAAACTTCTACTTGCAGAATGCACAGTTTGTAAATAGTGCAGATAAAATAATTATTTTATCCATAACATTTCTATATGAATGAATAAACAATCTTCGAATATTTTGCTTTTTTATTCAAAATAAAATTTCTGACATTTTTCATTTTTCGATTTAATGCTTCAATTTTGTATGATTTCGAAACATAATCATCAGAAACTCTTATACATGTATTTATTCAATTCCTTCATCGATATACATTATGATTTAAACAGGTCGATATCAATTATTATGTAATGATTTACAAAGGTCGATATCAATTATTATATTGTGATTTACAAAGGTCGATATCAGTAATTTTATAATGATTTACAGGGGAGATATCAATTATAATATAATGATTTATACAGATCGATATCAATTATTACAATATGATATACACAGGTCGATATCAATTATTTTATTATGATTTACACAGGTCGATATCAATTATTATATTATGATTAAACAGGTCGATATCAATTAGTATATAATGATTTACCAGGTCGATATCAGTAGATACATGATCCAAACAAAGATTACATAATTTAGACAAATTGATATTAATTATTACAAAATCGAGACAGGTCGATATCAAATATTACATGCTTTGGACAGATGATTGATATCAATCATTAAATCATTTGGACAGATCGGTATTTATTATTTAATTATGTAGACATATCAATAATTATGATTTGCCGGGTCAATATCAATTTAAACAGGTCGATCTACAGAACGCTCGTGGTTTGGTATTCGAATGATGGGTTTGACCACTTCATATTTTTAAATCAGAAATTACCAGTATAAAATCTAGTGCTTACCCTATGATTTTGATAAGCTGTGACTGCAGTAAATTTGGTTTCAGGAAAAATAAAATGCTTAAAGACTTCCATCTCTGACACGTCTTCTGATTTTGGAGGATTATATACAACATGGAAACGAGGCTGATACGAGTGCATGGAATTCAAAATAATCTGTAAAGAAAAATATAAAAAATCTTAATCATGAAGAATTCGGATAAAAATCACCGTATTTTTGCTTTGAAATAGCAAACGTTAGCATTATTTTTTAGTACCCACTATCTCCAGAAACGAATCCAAAGTAGTGCACATCTATTTTTGTCACAATCCTACAACTTTCTTGCCCCAAATGTTCTGATGATGAAATTATGTAATATGCATGTGAGATGAATATGCAGGACAGTGTTCGACTGGGCTGTCTGTAACCTCTATAGCCAGTTTACAAAAACATTTTAACGAAGAATTTTACTACTTACATGTCCATTGTCGTCCAATAAATTATTAGTTAATTTTAATTTATCGAATGATATAATCTGCTTCATCCACTGTGATCCTTTAGCAGGAGAATCTGGATGCATGTGGATTCTTCCCGGCATCTGAGTATCTGCTTTCCCAGCCACCACCCAACTAGAGCTATGGAAGGAATAGCGATATCGTTTATCATCTGATGCCACAAAATCCATCATGACCATGTAATCAGCATGGGGATCCATTCCTGTTACTCGTACTTGAAATGCTGGAAACATTCGTCTGAAAACAAAATAATACCTTTGAAACTATTGGCTATTAGGTTTACTAAGAGAATCTGAAACTTGTTAAATGTCTTACATTTACCTCTACTCTACCTCTACTAAATGCCTAAATGAAACAAATTTCGTTATTTAATTCGTTCGAATACCCTATTATTACAATATTACATTATTACAATATTACCCTAATACAATTTAAATTGATAAGATTGATTAGAGAGCACAGTGAAAAAGTTTCTTTAATGGTGCTCAACATATACTGAATCTTGGTGGTAAACTGTATTGTCAAAGAGTCCATTGTCAACGCCATGTTTTGTTAAATTTTGATGAAATGTAATACAAATTTTGCCCAGCAAAGTATCTTGGTGTTCACGTGTGTTTTAAAAATGTATTATAGCGAAAAACTCTGATTATGACCGTCATTTATGTTAAAATAACAGGATAGTGATGTCATTTGAATAAAATATAATAATATTTTACAACACCTCATAATGTTATTTTAAGATATGGTTGCAACAATATTATTATTTCAAATTAGTTGATCTATTTCTATTGTTTTGATAAATTATATTTGAACTTGGCACATGATGAATAGCAATGCATTAAATGGTTTAGGGATTGGAAAATAACAGGCGTTTATTGCAGACACTCAAATCTTTGGTTTGCAAGTAACCGTCCCATGTGGTTACGTTACTATCACATAAAAACCATTTTGGCTTGACGATATATTATGGTCTAATTTTAAACTTTGTCGAGATGGAAGACTTTGTGAAGCGTGTGACTGAGGGATGTTGCTCAGAATATTTGCCAATTTCAAATACTTTTGAACTTCCAAATTCTTGTACGTCGTTTTAATGTCTCCAAAACCATTCTTGAATCCTACTCGAAAGATTGAGACTGCCGTTGTGCATCAGCACCGGCACTCCAAAAGCACGGTTAAGAGGTCCTTTACACAGTAAGCGTTAAGAGATTTCGGATACCCATTAACGGGCCGAGCTGACGGGGTAAATAGGTGTAAATTCAAGGTCGTTTATCAAGTTGGTGAAACTGTCAAAATAAAGTATATCATTTGGAAGTTAAGTGAGTTGATATCACTGTTTTCAACCAGATTTCCACTGATTATCTCGCTCAAACTGAAATTTGTCTACATCATTTAAGATACGCACGACATTTGGGGAGAAGAAAATTAAAACCTTAAGTTTACTGTACTTTAATTCAGATAAGATATAACATTATTCTGGTGTCATTGAGTAAAGAAAAATACACATTTATGTTTGAATTTCTTATGACGGAAAGTTGTCAGCGATATATTTTTCAGTGCATGCTTTGTAATCAAATTTGGAAATATGAATATTACTTACAAAAGTATTTAATTATTTCTGCAAGGTGTCTAGTTTTGTAATACATATTTCACATTTCAGATGTGTATCACTAATATTTCCGATATGTATCATAGATATGTGTGTGTATGTATGTATCATTGATGCATCAAGAAATAAAATGCTCTTATGTTCTTGACCTGTAGCACAAGGGGTTTCGGTGTTTTGTCAAAAAGATTATTTTTCATGTCAGCCCCACAACCTGACAACATGAAAGCTAGGTTGAAGCTACTTTATAACCAAAGAAAACAGTTCTAAAATTTTTTCCATTTTTCTGGGAATTGGAAAAGCGGCCTCGAAATAGTACTGTTACTGTCTTTGCGTTGAAAAAGATATGAAAATAATAATAATTTGCAGTTACAAATTTTTGGACTACTTGGTTGAAATTCCTTGGAAAGAAAAGTGTTTCTTTCAATGTAAACTTACAAAACATTATATTTTTATCAGTGCAAAGATATACTATAGGTGTAACAGTACTAAGTTTAGGCCGATATACCATTTATACCAAAAATTTAGAAAAATTCAAAAAACTTTTTGCTTTGCTCAATAAGGCCATCAGATATACCGGAAACAATCCCGGACCATCGTTATAACGAGAAACTTTCCTACTCGTTGAGGCAAGAGCTACTTCCAATAACGTTTCGTAAGATCCAAGTCTGACAAGAGAATTTAGCCTCATTAATTATATAGAAGTTACAGATGATTTAAAGTCGAGGTTCTGGTTTGTTAAACTTGTCATTGATATCTCTATCTTAGATAATCATAGATAATTGGCACTTGGTCTGGTACCATCAGAATTTCTAGATGTTGCTTTGAATGGAAAAAAGGAAAAATATTACATTGTGAAGTTTGAAAGATTCTAAAATTAGAAGCTCAAATTTACTTGCATGTTTTATTACTGTTATTTTGAATTTTTCAGAATTGTATCCGCAAAAAACTGCACATTAAGTCTCTATATCTTATATTGTTTATTTTAAGATTAGTTTATTTTTTGACTATTACACGGTTTTTAACCTTTTTCTTTTTCTATTACCCCTTATAGGATCACTGATCGAGTGCATCAAACCTCGGTTGAAAACTCTGGACCAGTGTATGCATGGTGTATAAAAGCGTTCGATGTTCGGAAGTTGGGAAATTTACCGAAAATAGTTTATTTCTTACTGTTATGAGAGTCAGGGTTGGAGAAATCAAAAGTGAACGTAACAGTTGAGTCTTTATTTCTGAAAACATTCAATCTCTGGCAGATCAATGGAATGATAAAAATGTTATAATTAGAAAGTAAAATATGACAGAACATTATCGGTAACACTATCACTGTAAAATATCACCTGATAATATCACTGATATTAACACTGTTATGATAATGATGACGTCATATGGTATCTAATAACTAATTAATATAGTAGAACATCGTGTGGGGTGGCTTAATTACAGATCTAAAGAAGAAAGAACCAAACATCATCTTTTAGTATCATCATGTATAATTTAGTTTCCTATTTCCCAGCATTTCTATTTTTCGTTAGCTGTTGAAATATCAGCTCAAAGAATGACAAAAATCATATGATACAGAAAATATTACAATGGATGGATGTTTGTATGGAAACTATAATCCTTTTCACTTTGAATCAATTTGATTTCAAGTCAATTCCTCGCAGTGACAGCTAGAACATTTTTAAGCGTATCTGAATAAATTAATAGCATCCGTTAGTAATAATATGAGAGGCGTACCATTTGCTCTGTAGTTGCTTATTATATTGCATATCTGTATTTTTGATTATATCAAACATTTGAGTAGTAATTCATTGCATCTCATTATTGTATTTGTTGATTGTATATTTGCATAAGAAATCATTATATTATATTGTACTTATTGATTGATATAAGTATAGGCATATTGATATTTGTTGATTATATTATTTATCAATATATGACATTACAGTATTTGTTAGTTATTAATATGTATATATATGACATAACATAAATATATTATTTATTATTATTTGCTGATTATATTTTATTTTATATTTGTATACGTGGGTTATGCTTTTTTATAAATACATATTGGTATTTGTTGATTATATTATTTATTTATAGTTATATCACTTTTTGTTGATAAATTTATTCATTAATATTAATAATCATATATTTCTATATCTATTGTATTTTATATTGGAATATGTTGATTATCTTTTAGATTTGTATTTGTTGATTACACTATATTTTATACAATCGTTCTAATAGTATTTTTATCATAATTATTATTATTATTTTATATTGATACATATTTGATGAGTTTTTTTTCTTATTTAATTTAAGTATTTGTTAATACAAACACATTTTATAAACTAACAAGTAATGAAGTCGAACTGCAGGATTTTCGTTTGATTATAATACTTAACATTATCACTTTAAGGTCAAGAAAAATATTTCATCCATTTCAGTTTATTTTCTCTACTAATTACTTATTTTTATAACCAATAATATCAAATAGCTGAAACTTGAAGACCCCACAGACTTCCCCACCCTAGGGATTCCGTTTCACTCCAAAAGTGATAATTACATCTCAAGAGCGTAATAAATTTCGCCCCTGACCAAATGTGACGCGTGCACAGCGTGAAATGAACATGTACGTATAAACATGACATATGTAATGGAGTGAAAGTAAGATATTAATACCAAGTGAGGAGACCTGTTATAATTTATTGTTAGTTTAAAGAGCTACGGTGATTATTAATCAGAAAAAAATAAAATTGAATAAAAATAAATTCATCTGTAATGTGCAGTATTTCCGATCTTATTTTTATCTTAAAAATCATAAAAATTAATTATTTATAATAAAACAATAACTATTTTTCTTTCCAAAAAATAGTTTCTTTTTTAACCGTGTGGTCACACAAGAGGTTTCAAAAAAGATTTACAAATTCCCTCTCAAATTCCCTTAATAGTTGTGTATTCGAAGTATACGTCACCATGAGATGGGCTCTAGGATTCGAATCCCAATTGTTCTCTCATTTCTAAGCGCAACATTTCACATTCTTGTATGAACACTTCTCCAATTTTATCGTAGACTGGGGCATTTTATCATATATTTCCACCACGGTTCTGCAAAACCGAACATTCTCAGACTCCAAAAGGGCTACGCAAAGGAGTTTTAAACTGTGATATTACGAAAATCCTAGGAACTGTTAATTGTTTTCATTACAATGTTATGCATGTTTTCAGGATTTCCACGTAAATTATCCAGCACTAAGATTAAGAACGCAAAAAGAAGCTATTGTACTACACCACAGATTTGTTTTGCATTTTTTCATACTGTTCACCAAAATGATGTTGTTTACTTTGTTGTATTGTTTACGAGCTACTGTAAATGATGATGAGAATAAAGAGGCGAGGTGACAACTAGCAGATAAACTGAAATATGTGACAATCTTAAATCATTTTCATTTTCTTTTCCCTTACTCATTATCATTTCTATGCCGGTATTTATTTATTCTTTAGAGGATAATGGAACAGCATTTATTTTCATAAGAATAACTGTAAATTTCTTACCGGTATAAAATATATAGTAAAAATAATTGAAATTGACCCAAAACGACATAGTGCCTGTTAAAACACTTTAAAACCGTTAATATGTATGTTACGTACGCTTAACTTGAATTCTTAACCAAACATAACGTCGCCTTGCGGGCTACCATAACACACATACATAAATACTACAGTCTTTCTTGTTATATCTAATTTAAAGAATCTTACAGTCGAAAGAAATGGATATATTTTAACTTTCTCTTCTTGGCTTTTCTTGATAAAATGATTTCAAAGAACAGATCTTATCACCAAGAATTTTACCAATGCTTTTGTTGCTATTTTATTTGATAAAATGAGAGTATTTTCTGAAATTGTTTAAAGTTTTTGAGGTTATTAAAGTCATTACGTGTTAGTCAGATAGGATAATGCCATCAAAAACCAACAAGATTTTTTTCGAATTTCAAAAAATGTTATCTTTGAAATGAATTTCTTTGTGAATTACAGATTTAGAATCATCCCATCATTCTTAGTTTAGAACACAAATACCGAAATTTTGATGAAATGAGATTTTGACAAATCCAAATTAATCTATAATTGGTTGCATTATTACGTGTGACAGACGAATTTCTTCTTTTCCGACAAATGTTGGAAATTCGTAAGCAGTCAATTATAGAAATTCGTACATAAATTCTGAAAGAAAATAGGGGAAATCCTTGATAACAGTTGTCGGTCTTATAATTTAAAATATATGTAGTAGAAAAATAGGAAATACTTAATAATAGTCACCGGTTTCATTGCGACATCGACTTTGATATTATCAGGTAACAATCTGACAGATAAGAGAAATCGTCGTTAAATTCGGTCAATTGTCATAGACAATCCATTATCATTACTATTATATAAACAGTGAAAGGAAATAATTTAAAATATTTCTAGCAGAAAAATAGGAAATATTCACCGGTTTTATTCCGACATCGTCAGGTGTGAAAAACTATAATGAGAGGATCAACAACCTACCTCCCTGCTTTCGTAACGATCATTTCCGTTCCCAATTCATTAAATTCATCCCACAAGGATTTCATTTCTAAATGTGCGACAACATTCACTAACTTGGGATGTAAAGGTTTCTTAGGTCCTTCACAAGCATTAGGAAGTTTTTCACAGTCGCCGACACCTTGGGCAGTGGCTTCACTTTCTGTTTTTAAACTGTCATTAACCTCAGACCCACGACAATTCGTGTTATATTCTGTATTTTGGTCGTACCGTATTGTATCAAAGAACATTCGACTTGTACTGGTATTCCTTAAACATGCTGAAATAGACATTTAAATATTCTTAATTAAAATTAATGATTGAATTCACTGAAAGCGAAATAAAAAAAGGGCAATTCATGTATAATCCTAATTTGAGCGGAACTATTTCTAATCATGTATGGCATGTTAGTATACGTGACCAGACCCCAGTTCATGCAAGCAAAATAAAATGCAAATGATGATTTATGTCAGTTACAGACTATTTGAAAATTTGAAGAAAAGAGGGCGTCAATTTCCAAATTGAAAATTCAATACCGTAATGGTGCGTATATTAATTTGGTACATTTGTGGCAATGTGTAACAAGTTACTAGTTCAGATTGAAATATTCATATTGTAGTCTTAGGGAAATAAAGATTAGTAGCAATATCAATTTATAATATAAGGATTGATTGATAAGAATGTTGAAATCAGCCGAAAAACCAAATTTCCAAAAAATAAATAAAAGCATATATAATTTCGAACACTGAAATAAAAGATTAACTCCCAAATTCTGTTTTTGAGCAAATGTCATTATTCTTTCATGAAATACTTAATTCTTTTATGAGTAATAATATTAATTTGTTGATTGAAAAATCTAAGAGATGTGATTTTTTCTATTTGTACCCTACCCGTATCACCCTTAAATTTTGGTTTATTCCTACAATTATCTGAGCAGTTACCATTCCACTTCATTCGAAAATATGTTTATAAAACATTACTGTGCTTTCTCATTACATGCCAAATAACATTAAATTGAAAAAGATATCTTTTAAAACAGAAATTGTATATTGTCTGTTTCGTATAAGATAATATAAACATACTATTAATTATAAAAAATATTCAAAGGAATATAACAGAGACCAAAGAATAAAAATATTCACAAAGAAAAATATTATTTTTAATTGATAAGGAGAGTGTCTGTGGTATGAAATGAATGAATTTTATTCTGAATGTTATTCCTCAGTTTCTTATCTTCTTTCAATTGCGTTTCTGTTGCTGGCTTTTTGGGAAGTAAATTCGGTTTCCTAAAAATGTTCATGTATATTTTACCCGAGCTTAAACCTATGAGGAATTAATTATAATATCAAATCCAGACGGATTTTTTTTTTTTTTTGAAACACCATGCACAGGCATACCACTGTTAACATTTCACAGGGTGATCTATTCTGAATAACAGTTTTAACGCGTTCAATTAGCAATTGAATTCGAATCAGCTCTCTAAGTGGTTAATTTATCAAATATTGTTGCTGTTGCATTAGCTGAGGGAAGGATAAGCATGTCATGTCCATGTAACAAAAATGTAGCGGGAATCATTAAATGAAGGCCAAGGTGTAGTGACTTCAAGATTTCAGTAAAACTAAGCACGGTTATATGGCTAGATTTATATCATATTGCAAAATAAGTAAAAACACTGAATAGATACAATAATTTAGGACCAGGAATAATAAACCTTGTCTTTTTTCTTAGGTATAAAGTATGTACTTAACATAAAACACAACTAAAAAAATATCAGGACGGTTAATACCTGTCAAATCTTATTCAAATTTGGGATATAAGGATTAAGCATAAGGTCCAGAGTGTACCATTTTGATAGGCTAATGAAGATTGCCAAAAGGCTAAATGAATCCGTGGACAAATTGACATTACTGTTTGTAGTTTGCTTTAAGCTGATTAACTTTTGAAATTGATTTATAATTAGAAATTCAAATCAATTATTGCAAAAAAAATAGCCAGTCAAATAGTGCGCATATTCAAGATGACAATCAAGCACATCCCTTAACTATCTGGTTAAGTTGCTCCAAATAAAAACTAAATTCGAACACACTTACCTTCCATTGCAGGCATAGGAACAAATGAAGAATTTTGATTCCAATCAAAAAATCTATCAGAAGGTCTGGAAGTGCTCAAAGAATTGTATCCGAATCCTGAAGAATAATTTCCATCAGTTCCAGGAGGTGCCATAATATTAGCAATCCCAAAAGGGTTTGTTCTCGACGATATTGAACTAGTAACGTCCATGGTGTTTGCAACTTGCCAAATCAGACTGGTATACTGTTAATATGTAAGTTTTCAATGAGCCTTATCTAACAAGCCACTAGAGGCATGAGTTCTACCAAATATTCTGACACCTCGTCAAATTCCTGCTAAACTCCGCCTACTTACACCGCTAGTGCTAGGAACGAGCAATTCAATTGGTTAAAAATGGTTCCATGTGGTCCCGATTAATTCTTAATTCCACTTGCCTGGTTGCTTTGGTCAAGCAATAACAAATTGGACTACCTTCAAAAGAAGTCTAAAATTTTGAAAATTAAAAAAAAAATTATTTTCATGAAAATTGAAAATTCTTTTAGTATAGTTTATAATACTCGAAAATATTCAAATTTAAGTCTGAATTTATTAATGTTCATAGATTTTTCAGCAATATTATGGAATGACGTGAACTTATTTTGATTCAAAATAATTTTAAATCAAAATATAAAAGGCCTTGTATTTATGGTAGATATGTTCAGTATTTGCGGTCAATCATGAATGCATCTCTAACCATTATCTTTTTTTGCAAACGATTGTTTTTCTACTTTTTCATTTCTAAATATCGTTGCTTACAAGAACTTCCTAATTTTTCGTTTTAAATCACTTTTTTTATATAATCCATATACGCACAAAGAAACATTTACGTTCATCCGGACGTAAGTTTCAAGACACTTTTAGATTCGTAAATTTAGTAGTTCAGGTGGCATGTTTTTTTCATTTTATTTTTTAGGATTACTTTTACTTTTTATCAAAATTGGCTAAATTTGTCAATCAGCAACCATTTTGCAGAGTTCACATAGATTATTACTTTTGATTTTAAGTAATTCTATTACGCATGAAATATTGAAAATGACTTGAAAGCAAAATAATATTTTACGTCTTACATCAAAAAAAGATTTCAAAGATAATGTTTAACATTTATTGAGAATTTGAAAAATTTTGTAAACGTTTAGAAAAAAAATTTAAAAATTGTGAAATATCGAGGTTTTGGTGTGAACATTTGTTAGAATTTGAAATGTTAAAATAAACTTGTCTTCACCTTCAAGCCTATAAAAAAGTTGAAAGACGTCCTTATTATTAAACGAAAGAATATAGCAAAGGGTGAAAGATATTATACCCCTTTTATGTTGTCGAGGAACAGATTTTATTCTTAAAATCAACCTGGTAAAATTAATTAATAAACTTATAATTAAACTATAAACAAACAAGGAAGCCACAATATGTATATTTTAATTTGGATAAAAAAAAATTAGCATAGCATGGTATTTAAAGCATAGATAATTCGACAAAATGAATTTAAAGTATAGGTACTTCGAAAGTATGGATAATTGAAAGTATAGATATCTCAAATCTACGGATAATTGGAAGTATAGATAATTCAAAGTATTATATAATTCGATATGATGAATTGCAAGTGTAAGTACTTGGAAAGAATGGATATGTGAAAATATATAGATTTCTAAAGAATGAAAGTATAGATAATTCTAAAGAATGAAATTATTGAAGGTTTCAATGGTTTTAAAGTAATGATAATACGTATAAAGATAGTAAACAATTAATTGGATAATCGAAAGCATGGAAAATTTGGAAAAAATGGATAACATGAAACTATTGGATAATGTGGATAATTGAAACTATAGTTCAACCTGGTTACGTTAAAAAATAACACTACTTATTGCTTTTTCTTAGTGATTTTACCTACAACGAAGATAAAATAAACAACTCTCAAAATTTCACAATGACCATATTCTTATAATAAAAAAAATCGTAAGAAGAAGTAAAAAAAAAATTTAGTATATAGACGAAATTGACTTTTTACTACGAACAAATCCATTGAAACAGATGTAAGTTTTAAAGTCGAAGAAAAAACACATGAATATATCAATCGGATGTGGCGATCTGTCAACAATTCAAATGTTAACATCGTTATGGATAGGATTTTTTCAATGAAAGTGTCGACAAATTGCCGTTTTCTGTCTCCTAATGTTACCTAAAAGCCCCGTGTCTTATGTGTAATAACTTTATCTTTCAACACCACCCTGGCTATTTCTGAACAAAACCTTCTACAGACAGTTAAATGTATTCATCAAAACCATTCCAGCATTGATTTAACATTAAAATCAGGTCAAACTATGGTGGTGCTTGATATCCAGTTCATACCCTCTCCCAGTCCTCATAACTTCCAACACCTCATATCTATACTCCCACCAATTATATTGGACACAGGTTTTGCGTTTGCTCGAAAAAGGACATCTACAACTACATGTTTTATATATGTAGTTGTGCCGTTTTCATTTTCTTTGTCGTTTATGTAGCTTAGGTGTGAAATAAAGTTCATATCAGTCGAATGCTGAGTCTCCGACTTCAAACCCGCTACATATGTATTTAGTTTTCCAACACTGATACGAACCATCAGAAACCAACATCCAAACCAAGCTAAATTCAGGAGTCAAGTCAAGTCGACGAAATCAAGGAAATGGACTGCGCCCAGTGAAGAGTCCTTAAACCATACGACATTCTGGACTCTACATGACAAAACAATAATAGCAGTTGCTCATAACACCTACAGTCCTATATCAGACATTAACTTAAAAAGATAAGCTGGATTCTATATCTGAAACAAGTAAGAGATATAATTAATAGATTTAATAATTCAGATGGATTTCACTCGACTTAAACAGTTTATGCGAATGAATGATATACCAATTTAGTCCCTACTATTTTTAGAAATCCTCTTGCCACAAAAATTCTATTAAAT